GTCAATGGTGACTTTGTCAATGGTCCAAGTCGGACCGAAACGTCGTCGTAAGCTTCTCTCTTTTATGTGCGGGTTATTTGTGTATTGTTCCAGTCACGGTATTGTGCCTTTTTGTTATTCATCTTACCTGGTGTGTCTCCACCAAAGAATTTAGTGCCTCTTTTTGTCAGCTCTGTCTCAAACACATCAAGTCCAGATTTGATGTCATCACAGGACTTTTTCATAATCTGTTCATCCTTCTTTGAGAAGTACAACTTAAGTAAGGCTGCACTTATCTGAACAAATAAAGATATTACAATATAATTAGTGAATATTTACCGTTTAAAAATGTGATAATTTTTATCATTAATAAACTGTATGATTATTTACAGTTATAATTAAACTAAATATTTTCGGATGTACAATATTTGTAGGAGTGCAGGAAGGTTACGTACATGAGTTTTAAGATTAAGTTAAAAGCCGCTAGGTGGAGATACACTGTCACAATATGGAGAATCATTAATTAATGCAGTCAAGATGCCAAGAAAATGGAGGTCAGCCCTCTCAAACGCAATAATTATTTCAAGTTAATAAATTAATTTCTTAGGAGAACCACAGAAATCTCAAAGCCAAAACGGAATATACTCGTAAATAGCACGTGGCCTCAAGAGCAACTTAACCTGTCGGAACACATCTAAACTTTAAGATCACTCACAAGAGGCATTAATTAGATAGTTCGTAAAGCTACCATAATAATATTATTCTTTAGCACCTGATGTTCCAGCACCTGGTCACTCATATGTAACATGGTCATGCACCAGCATGTGATGCTTCAGCACCTGATCACTCAAGTGTAACGTGGTTCGAACTGGACGATTCGGTTTATTAGGCACGACATATATATATATATATATATATTATATATATATTATATATATTAAAATATATATATATATATATATATATATATATATTAAAATATATATATATATATATATAGCATTGAAATCACGAAAAAAGTAATTTTTTATATCATTCACCAAACTGCTGCAGGCCAGGACTCGACCCTACGAACCTTGTACTGCCTCCAAAGACAGCAAAAATGCAAAAATCACCATACCACTACGCCACTTATTGGTAGGATCAGTTGCGTAGTGGTAAGGTGATGCGTGCATTCTGCTGTCTCTGGAGGCAGTAAAAGGGTTTGTAGGGTCGAGTCCTGGCCTGCTGCAGTTTGGTGAATTAATATATATATATATTTTATTATATATATTTATATATATATATATATATTTATATATAAATATATATATTATATATATATATATAAAATATATAGGGTAGATGCAGTGAGATCAAAACTAACCGGAGCATCAGTCATTGCCCCCACAAATAGCGTCTTGCTTGGAGCACCTCTGGGAAGCGATGCCATTGATACAATTCTCAGGAAGAAACTGGAAGAGAAGAGTTGAGGAGAATGGAACAACGAATAGGCAATCTTGACACCCACCTTCTCACAAAGTGCTTGAGTCTGCCCAGGTTACAGTAAGAATAATTTCTAAATGAATTCCAGTTACACTACACACGTTAGTAAGCCATGAAATTAGTGATGCTATATATGTCTTAAGTGTATATGTGGATAATGGGCGTTAGTAAAATAGTCAGTATAATCAGAAACTTACGTTGGAAGCTTCGAAGAAGCGTTTACTGAAGTAAATACTGTATTTTTAAACAAAGTAATGGAACACATGGAGCACTAATTGATGATGATAGTTTTACATGCAATGTGTGAATCAGTATAGTCCTGATGCAACATTGTGTGAATCAGTATAGTCCTGCTGCAACACTGTGTGAATCAGTATAGTTCTGCTGTATCACTGTGTGAATCAGTATAGTTCTGCTGCATCACTGTGTGAATCAGTATAGTTCTGCTGTATCACTGTTGAATCAGTATAGTTCTTTCTGCATCACTGTGTGAATCAGTATAGTTCTGCTGTATCACTGTGTGAATCAGTATAGTTCTGCTGTATCACTGTGTGAATCAGTATAGTTCTGCTGCATCACTGTGTGAATCAGTATAGTTCTGCTGTATCACTGTGTGAATCAGTATAGTTCTGCTGCATCACTGTGTGAATCAGTATAGTTCTGCTGCATCACTGTGTGAATCAGTATAGTTCTGCTGCATCACTGTGTGAATCAGTAGAGTTCTGCTGTATCACTGTGTTGAATCAGTATAGTTTCTGCTGCATCACTGTGTGAATCAGTATAGTTCTGCTGCATCACTGTGTGAATCAGTATAGTTCTGCTGCATCACTGTGTGAATCAGTATAGTTCTGCTGCATCACTGTGTGAATCAGTAGAGTTCTGCTGTATCACTGTGTGAATCAGTATATTTCTGCTGCATCACTGTGTGAATCAGTATATTTCTGCTGCATCACTGTGTGAATCAGTAAGTTCTGCTGTATCACTGTTGTGAAAACAGTAGAGTTTCTGCTGTATCACTGTGTTGAATCAGTATAGTTCTGCTGCATCACTGTGTGAATCAGTATAGTTCTGCTGCATCACTGTGTGAATCAGTATAGTTCTGTTGCATCACTGTGTGAATCAGTATAGTTCTGCTGCATCACTGTGTGAATCAGTATAGTTCTGCTGTATCATTTATTATATTTATGTGTCAGCATTACCGTCCGTCTTCACTTCCTTTAACATAATGCTTACAACTCCGATATTCCAATACCTTCCAATACTGTTCAGGATTCCAACCTAATTAATCAATATCATCAACATGAGGCATCGCACTTTAATGGCTTATAGGAGGTTCTTGCATGGATGATTGGAAATAATTCCCAAAATATCGATTAAGTTTTTTTTAAATTAAGGCAGCAAATATATTTCATACGGTTTTAACTGTTCTGAATCCAAGAATTTGGTGCACAAATCTCTGCGGGTGTTTAATACATACCTGTGACCAGAGCTCAATAAACATTCGATCTTGAGCTTTTTTTAAAGGTTGAGCAGGGTAGAGTGGAGGCTCAGGGTAGACTTCATCCAGGTAGTCGCAAGTTATCAACGACTCGAACAAACAATGTTCATTTATCTGCAGGACTGGAACTTTACCCAGGGAATTCTTCTCAAACAGCCACTCCGGTTTGTTCTTCAAGTTCACATAAACAACTTCGTGTCTAAAATGTTTATAGAAAATCCACGTCATTGGAATGGAATTATATATACTAAACCAAAATATAAACCTACATTGTTTTTTTAGGTAATAAAAAATGAGTGATTTTTAATTTGATTCTGGTGATTCTTAATCTCAAGATACATCTGATAATTAAATAAAGGAATATTTACTTCTTCGACAGATGGTCGTTAAAAAATAAAGCAGATTATATAATTACATAACTTAGGCTGTGTTGGCTTTTATGATGTCAACAGCGCGTCAGAAAGTTACAGAATTATTAAACATTTTCAGAAATTAAAAAAAAATGACATTTATATTTTTATTATTTACTGAAAAATAACGAACATTGTGTCGCTACACGACTGACGTACATGACTGCAGCTACACGACTGACGTACATGACTGCAGCTACACGACTGACGTACATGACTGCAGCTACACGACTGACGTACATGACTGCAGCTACACGACTGACGTACATGACTGCAGCTACACGACTGACGTACATCACTGCAGCTACACGACTGACGTACATCACTGCAGCTACACGACTGACGTACATCACTGCAGCTACACGACTGACGTACATCACTGCCGCTACACGACTGACGTACATGACTGCAGCTACACGACTGACGTACATGACTGCAGCTACACGACTGACGTACATGACTGCAGCTACACGACTGACGTACATCACTGCCGGTACACGACTGACGTACATTACTGCCGCTACACAACTGACGTACATCACTGCAGCTACACAACTGACGTACATCACTGCAGCTACACAACTGACGTACATGACTGCAGCTACACAACTGACGTACATGACTGCAGCTACACAACTGACGTACATCACTGCAGCTACACAACTGACGTACATGACTGCAGCTACACGACTGACGTACATGACTGCAGCTACACGACTGACGTACATGACTGCAGCTGCACGACTGACGTACATGACTGCAGTTACACGACTGACGTACATGACTGCAGCTACACGACTGACGTACATTACTGCCGGTACACGACTGACGTACATTACTGCCGCTACACAACTGACGTACATCACTGCAGCTACACAACTGACGTACATCACTGCAGCTACACAACTGACGTACATGACTGCAGCTACACAACTGACGTACATGACTGCAGCTACACAACTGACGTACATCACTGCAGCTACACAACTGACGTACATGACTGCAGCTACACAACTGCCGTACATGACTGCAGCTACACAACTGACGTACATGACTGCAGCTACACAACTGCCGTACATGACTGCAGCTACACAACTGACGAACATACATGACTGTAGCTACACAACTGACGTACATGACTGCAGCTACACAACTGACGTACATGACTGCAGCTACACAACTGACGTACATGACTGCAGCTACACAACTGACGAACATACATGACTGTAGCTACACAACTGACGTACATGACTGCAGCTACACAACTGACGTACATGACTGCAGCTACACAACTGACGAACATACATGACTGTACTACACAACTGACGATCATGACTGCAGCTACACAACTGACGTACATGACTGCAGCACTACACAACTGACGTACATGACTGCAGCTACACAACTGACGAACATACATGACTGTAGCTACACAACTGACGTACATGACTGCAGCTACACAACTGACGTACATGACTGCAGCTACACAACTGACGTACATGACTGCAGCTACATAATTGACGTACATGACTGCAGCTACACAGCTGACGTACATGACTGCAGCTACACAACTGACATGCATGACTGCAGCTACACAACTGACATACATAACTGCAGCTACACAACTGACTGCAGTTTACTATTCGCCAAAATGAGATCAATCACGAGAGAGCCTTCACCAAATTCAACTTCAATAACAAGAACATAAAGTGGGACCAAGTAAACCAAGTCCTAAACGATGTAAGCTGGGAAGATAGACTAAGCAACACAGAAACCAAGCTTACAGGTATGATAACAGATGCCATGTTTCCAACGGGATACCAGATCCTGAGGAAAGACAAAGGGAACAAGGGGGAGTGGAGGAGTGGCACAGCTGATCAAAAACCGACGGAATTTTGATGAGCTGGAGAGAGGAGACAGCAGAGAAGCAAGCGATTACATAGCGGGAACGCTTCACTCTGGAGGTCCCAAAGTGGTAATTACAGGGATGTATAACCCACCACAGAACAGAAGGAGGCCAAGACAAGAGTATGATGAGAGCAACAGAGCGATGGTTGAAACACTGACTGCAGTGACCAGAAGAGTTCATGCATGCAGGGCAAAGCTTCTGATCATGGGTGACTTTAACCACAAGGAAATCAACTGGGAGAACTTGGAGCCACATGGGGGTCAAGATACATGGAGGGCTAAGATGATGGAGGTGGTACTGGAAAACTTCATGTACCAACACGTAAGGGACACTACAAGAGAGACAGGAGAGGATGAACCAGCAAGACTGGACCTAGTATTCACCTTGAGTAGTGCAGATATTGAGGACATGACATATGAAAGACCACTTGGGGCCATCGATCATATGGTTTGAAGCATCGAATACACAGTAGAGCTACAAGTGGAGGGAGAAGCAGGAAGTCCAGGGCGAATGAAGCCAAACTACAAGAAAGGGGACTACACGGGAATGAGTAACTTCCTGAAAGGGGTTCAGTCGGACAGAGAACTGGCAGGGAAGCCAGTTAATGAGATGATGGAATATGTAACAACAATGTGCAAGGAGGCTGAGGAGAGGTTTGTATCGAAAGGTAACAGGAATAATGAAAAAGTCAGGATGAGCCCATGGTTCACCCAAAGATGCAGGGAGGCAAAAACCAAGTGTGCTAGAGAATGGAAGAAATATAGAAGGCAAAGGACCCAGGAGAATAAGGAGAGCAGTCGTAAAGCATGAAATGAATGTACACAGATAAGAAGGGAAGCCCAACGACAATATGTAAATGACATAGCAGCGAAAGCCAAATCTAACCCGAAACTGTTATACAGCCACATCAGGAGGAAAACAACAATCAAGGACAAGGTAATCAGGCTAAGGAAGGAAGGAGGAGAGACAACGAGAAGTGACCGTCATGTGAGGAACTCAACAAGAGATTCAAAGAAGTGTTCACAGAGGAGACAGAAGGGGTTACAGAAAGACTGAGAGGTGGGGTACACCAACAAGTGCTGAACGCAGTACACACAACTGAGGAAGAAGTGAAGAGGCTTCTGAGTGATCTAGATACCTCAAAGGCAATGAGGCCGGATAACATCTCTCCATGGGTCCTGAGAGAGGGAGCAGAGGCGCTATGTGTACCCCTAACAACAATATTCAATACATCTATCGAAACAGGGAGATTGCCTGAGGCATGGAAGACAGCAAATGTAGTCCCAATCTTTAAAAAAGGAGACAGACATGAAGCTCTGAACTATAGACCAGTGTCACTGACATGTATAGTATGCAAAGTCATGGAGAAGATTATCAGGAAAAGAGTGGTGGAACACCTAAAAAGGAATTATCTAATCAACAGCAGCCAACATGGTTTCAGGGATGGGAAATCTTGTGTCACAAACCTACTGGAGTTCTATGACATGGTGACAGCAGTAAGACAAGAGAGAGAGGGGTGGGTGTATTGCATTTTCTTGGAGTGCAAGAAGGCGTTTGACACAGTTCCACACAAGAGATTAGTGCAAAAACTCTAGGACCAAGCAGGGATAACAGGGAAGGCACTACAATGGATCAGGGAATACTTGTCAGGAAGACAGCAGAGAGTCATGGTACGTTTAGAGGTGTCAGAGTGGGCACCTGTGACCAGCGGGGCCCCACAGGAGTCAGTCCTAGGACCAGTGCTGTTTCTGGTATTTGTGAACGACGTGACGGATGGAATAGAAGTGTCCCTGTTTGCAGATGACGTGAAGTTGATGAGAAAAATTCATTCGATCGACAACCAGGCAGAACTACAAAGGGATCTGGAAGGGCTGCAGATCTGATCCAGCAATTGGCTCCTGGAGTTCGACCACACCAAGTGCAAAGTCATGAAGATTGGGGAAGGGAAAAGAAGACCGCAAACAGAGTACAGTCTAGGGGGCCCGAGACTACAAACCTCGCTCAAGGAAAAAGATCTAGGGGTGACTATAACACCAGGCACATCTCCTGAAGCACACATCAACTAAATGACTGTTGCAGCACATGGGCTCCTAGCAAACCTCTGAACAGCATTCCGACATCTTAATAAGGAATCGTTCAGGACCCTGTACACCGTGTACGTTAGGCCCATAATGGAGTATGCGGCACCAGTTTGGAACCCACACCTAACCAAGCACGTAAAGAAACTAGAGAAAGTGCAAAGGTTTGCAACAAGACTAGTCCCAGAGCTAAGAAGTATGTCCCACGAGGAGAGGTTAGGGGAAATCGACCTGACGACACTGGAAGACAGGAGAGATAGGAGGGACATGATAACGACATAAAAAATAATGAGATGAATTGACAAGGTGGACAAAGACAGGATATTCCAGAGATGGGACACAGCAACAAGGGGACACAGTTGGAAGTTGAAGACACAGATGAATCACAGAGATGTTAGGAAGTATTTCTTCAGCCACAGAGTAGTCAGGAAGTGGAATAGTTTGGGAAGCTATGTAGTGAAGGCAGGATCCATAAATAGCTTTAAGCAGAGGTATGATAAAGCTCACCGTTCAGGGAGAGTGACCTAGTAGCGACCAGTGAAGAGGTGGGGCCAGGAGTTAGCACTCGACCCCTGCAACCTCAACCAGGTGAGTACAAGTAGGTGAGTACAGACCCAACTTATGCCTAGAACAGATTAACTCTATGCCACTCGATGTATGCTCAAGTCTTATTCCTTTATGAAAAAGGAGGAGTAGATGTAAAAAAGAAAGAGACAAGCGCTCCCTTTACAGGCGACGGAAAAGAATAGCAGAGCGGCTAAAAGAGGCCAATATATCTGAAATGCGTAGGGAGACACAGGTC